ACACTGTAGACAGGTCTGTTTCACATTGTCAATCCATATGATACAAATGAATGGAAAACTTGACATGATCTGAGAGGTTTTTTACCTGGTTTAGTGGTGAAGGACTTTGACTGTGTCAGGATCACTGTCCTTGTGGTGTAACCTCCAAGATACCCCACTGCTTTTTTCTTATAGTCCTTTCCACAATTGTATTAATACTGAGTGTATGTCATGACCAATGGTGACTTTGAAGAACATCCAATATGAATGAGTGTGCCTGTATTTCCAGCAGTAGAAAGTTGTGAATGAAGTTAGGCACCATACAAATCTGTCTTCTAATCTCAACTCTGCCACTTTCTATTAAACAACTTTGGAGAGACACTCTCATCCCATACTACAAAACAGAGCCTGAGGACCAACTCCACAGACTGGAGACTAAAAAAAAAATGTTAAAACACCTAGTTTGGGCCTAGCATGCTGCTCAGTAAACAGTAGTTTCCTTTTTCCATAACTTTTCCATAGAAAGAGAAAATAACAGTCTCTTAGCAAAGTGCTAACTTCTATTAGAAATTGAAAAACACATAAATACATGTGTTAGGCCTCTACTTTAACCCTTATTTCATCCTCCCTCTTTTGGAACTCAGTAATCTTTTCTTTATCTCCAGCCTCTTCCATAATAATCATTCTCTAACATTAAAGACAGAACTAAGCTTCTCCTTGAAACATTAACTACAAATTAGCATGACCCAGCATTCTGACCACATTCTCCACCCAAGTTTTCTTCCATCTGTCACCTGTAATTCTGTGATAAGATATCAACACTGACTAAGGCCATTTCATTCCTTTCCATTTCTTATTCCATACAATTTGGCTTTCACCTCCCAATCATAAAGCCATTATGCTAACTTTGTATTTGTCAAGTCAGTAATCCTTGCAGCTCTTCTCCTTTCTAATGACTATGACCTGTAGATCAGGATGGTCATTTTGAAATTCATTGTTATGATAGTACTTTGTGTCCACATTGAAACTTACTTCCCAGGCTTTCATTTCTCCCATTTTCCTTCTTATTGTATATTACCATAGGAGGTCTCATCATTGTAGCTACCTTCTGGGTACCAATGTCTCCTAAATCTGTTTCATTAGTTTGTTACACAAAAGCTTCCTGGATACCTTCACCTCCAATTCAACTTTTATTCACCATCTTCCCTTCTATCTACTATATTAATTTGCTAGGGCTGCATAAGAAATTGTCACATCCAAATGCCATAAAATAATATGAATTCATTTTCACATAGTTTAGGAGCCCAGCAATTGAAAATCAGTGTCAACAGATTTGGGTCCTTCTAGGCAACTTGAAAGGAGAGTCCATTCCATGCTTTCTCCTAGTTTCTAATAGTGGCTTGAGAGTTGTGGAAAGCCCTGGCCATGCAGCTGCATTGCCTCATTGCCTCAGATTTGCCTTCCCTCTGTGTGTCTCTGTGTCTCTTCTCCTTTTCTAATAAGAACACCAGTCACTTTAAAGTCCCAGGTTACTCCATTATGATGGAGACATTATTCAATCCAATAAACCCACCAATTCTGCCCACATTCTCTAACTCCCATCTTTGTAAGTAGTGCCAGCTCTTGACTTCAATTCAGGAAATTAAAGGAGCAGTCTTCATTCTCCTTTCCCCTAACTGCCTATCCCAATTATCATCAAGCTTGGTCATTTTCGGTTCAGATTATCTCTAAATTGAATTCTCTTGTTCATCTCTAATTCTTCCTCTCAAATCCCAGATTCACTCTGTAGTATCTCTTGCTTGGACTACTACAATTATCTGTCCAAAGCAGACTGGTTTTAAGTTCAGCCTCCTCAGTGCTAACAGAGTATATATAAATATATACACAGTTTTGGGTCATGTTAAGAAGAAACAGAAGGGGGAGGGGGTTTCTAATTTTTCTCTACTATGAACAGTTCTGCTTCTTCATGATACATATCCTTTCTCAGGAATGAGGAACTGAGAGACAGAGTGGTTTCTGTGGAGACCATGGCCTTTATAACATCTTCTTTTGTCTTGACAGTCTCTTTATAAGCCTTAAGGATGTGATAAAATCCATCGTAGCTATAATCTGACTTTTTATTAGATTTCTGATCTGTTTGGGAAAGGTTTATTTCAGTGTTTTGAGACTTAATATTATACGTGGCTCCAGAGATTCCATAATAGAGGTATTTATTCTCATTTAAAAAATAAATTAATGCAATTTATGAATTGTAGCCATTCATATATACATACACACACAATGATCTTAAAAATAATATTTTCTTCTGAGACAGGTAGACCAGGCTACAAAGACTAATTTTGAAGGAAATCATTGTATGGTCAGTCAAACAGAATCTTGCTTGATAAGACTATTTAACTCTTTCCTGTCTTTCATAGTTTTATTCCTAAATCCATTACACTAGACCTCAATTTCCTCTTTTACTTCATTATAAAAAAAAGAAAAGCTACTTTTTACCAAGTTGATTTTCACTCTCCAAAATGAGAATTATTTTTCATCATAATAATAAATTTTAGAACTTAGCAGTAGATAAGTTCGATGGGGAAGGAAAATCCAAGAGATAGAGAAAGAACCCACAAGGCAGGCAAGGCACAAAGAATTTTTAGGGGAATGAAAATAATCTGTATGGTATTATGATGGATACATGCTATTACAAATTTGCTCAAACAATGGAATGTACAATGCCAAAGTAAATCCTAAGGTAAACAGTGGACTTTGGGTGAATATGATGTGTCAATGTAGGGTTATCCACTGTAACTGACACGTGACTCTGATGTATGACCTTAATAATGGAAGAGGCTCAGCTCATGTAGAAGTAGGGTATACATGGGAAATCTCTGTACCTTCCTCTCAATTTTGTTGTGAATCTAAAATTATTCTGCAAAAGTCAGGTCTTTTAAAATTAACCAAGAAACATTTTATTTCTTAGAAATATCACTTTTTTTTCAAAAAACTTACAATAATTGAGTTCCAAATTTGAAAGAAAGCAAAGTATTTCTTCTCTCAGCTTTCTTTTTATATATTTGTAAAACCACACACAGCCCAGTAAGGAATATATATTTCTTCATAATTTTCTATATTTTGTGAATATAGAACTTCCACAAAAATAAAAAAAAATCACGCTATAATGCTCTTAAAAAGACATGAGTTTGTCATTCAAACCCATCAATACCACTGCTAAACCTCTACATATGGGGAATGAAAATATATGTGCTCATAAAGACTTACATGTGAATGATCTCAGCAGCATAATTCATAATGACCTCAAAGTAGTAACAACCCAAATGTATATCCCCTGGTAAATGAATAGACAAGTTAACTGTGGCATATCCATAAAATGGATGTATGTTGAACAGAAAACTACTCACCAATAGAAGGGAGTGAAAAAGAGCTATGCTACAGCATGGGTGAACTCTCACTATTGTGCTCCATGAACAAAAGCCATAAACAAAAGAGCGCATGTTATATGATCTCATTTATATGAAATTTCAAGAAAAGCAAATCTATAGACACTGAAAATAGATTAGGGTTTGCCTGAAGCTAAGGAAGAAACTAACTGGGCATGAGGGATCTTACTAGGTGATGAAAATGTCCTAAAACTAGATTATTGTGATGATTTTAAAATTTGATAAAGTTTCTTAAAAATCATTGAAATGGGCACATTTCTTTCAAAAAACCTAAATTAGTAATTTACTGAAAAGGAGAAACATTCTTTAACAAAAGTGAAATTTTACACATTTTAAATATACTACATACCAGTCTATTAACCTTTGATATTTTGTTGAAGTCGTGGTAAAAAGAAAATTAAAAATGCAATTATCAAAAGCTTTCTTTAAAAATTTCTCAAAGTATACTTTGCTTCAAAATTGAATCATCTGATCTTTGGAAACACCTTTTGTATAAGGCAGTGTACTCTCTGGAACCATTATTAGGACTATTTTAGGCTTTTGTTCTTTTTTGTAGATGAGTTTTAAGTGGTCATTAGCTTGGAGTCTCCACTTTCCAGTTTTGCACAGACGCCTACTAATAAAACCACTTGCAGTTTTCGGGTTTTGCTGTGGATGTGCTTGCTTGCTTTGTGTGTCCCATCTGCCCTGTTCGTGCCAAGTGCTTTTCCGAAGCAACCCTTTCGCTGAGTTCCCAGGGGTGAAGTCTACAAAGATGGGACTGGTCAGCAAAGTAGGGACTTGTGGTTAAAAAAAAAA